TTTTTAATACAATACATGTTCCCTGGTACATACCCTGATAAATACCCTGTTACTAGTTTTTTAAAAGCTATCACTCTTCTCTTAAGTAAAGTTTGATTTTGTCTTCTTGATATATTTTATATGGATATTAATATTAGTCATGTGACAAAAATACTGCACTGAAAAAAAAATTAAAAATTTATATTTATGTAAGTAGACACATGTCTGACCACACACATAAATGCGTTGGGCTTTTAAAGGAGTTTTGATTCAGATAGAAAAACAGATATATTTCTATGTAATTTCTATTTCTAGGTAATATATAAAATTTAATAATTTTAATTAATAGTTCAATATATTAAATTTAATATATTAAATGTTCACAGGATTCATACTCCATGCTTTAGAAACATGATCATTCTCTTAGTTTAAAAAAATTCTAACTTTGTGAAGTGTAATAAGTATTACTTTAAATGGATTTTATTTCAAGAAAAAAAGAATCTAGGCCATATCTCTTAATGTCAGAGCCCCTACAAGAACTTTATAACTCTGCTTAGACCGGCTAAATAACTTTTTCTACTTATTATTTCTTGGTAACCCACCTAACTAATCATGTTACGAATTTCAAACTGTTTACCTAAAATTTAATTAATTTTGATTTTTTTAATAAAGTGTATCTGGCTTTCATCTTCCTTTATTCTTTCATTGTCAGCACTGATATTAGTCAAAGTATCTTTGCCTCAGTTTTCCAACTGATGTAGCTGACTCCCAAATGCACAGCAGAGTTAGGGGGACTTAGCTGGACTGTCTGCTTTGTTTCTTTGGTTGCTCTACAGAGTCTGATTGTCCTGCAGTAAAACACCTCTGTGGTTGGGGCCCAACCTCAGTGATATCTGAGTGGTTTTTCACTTGGCCTCCCTTCTTTGTATTTATTGCAGCAATTCACTCTGTGCTGGCACCTCTCTAGTTTTGAACGGACTCATTATTTCACCAGCTGAGAAAACAGCATAGCCAATTAAGTAAAATTCCTTAAGGTGCTTCTACAGATAACCAACCAGTTATGAGAAGTGATCAAGTTTTCATGAAGGGAAAGATTTCTCAGAATGTGTGAGTTTTTGCCTTTACAGAAGTTGGCCTGCCATCACTGTTACCCATTGCCATCTTTAAGGGAACCTTCTTCATGGTGTAACAAATAATGCTGTGAACCATTAGCAGCAATAGACCTGTGTCCAGGAATGGAAGTCATAGGCTGCCAAGATCATAGGGAAGCACTATTGATGCAACTTATAAATTATTCCTGTATATTAATAAGTATCTCTTGGATTTTACAGTCTACCTCAAACATAATTAATAATTACCTTCCAATAGTTTGCAAATCACCATCTGCAAAATTTCTGGAAATGTGCTAGTGAGTTGCCAATGGGGTATTCAAATATATTAGTTGTCTTTTATTTGTGGCAGTGTAAATCACATGCTATCTGCATCTACTATTTGAATAGCACAGAAAGATGGAGAGTCAAGAAAAGTCCATGAAAGTGAGTACCATATCTGCTTGCCCTTTGGAAACAAGCTGTTTCTCTGAAGAGATTGACATTCTCTCTTCTACCTTACTGTGTACATAAAAAGCCATGCCAAGCAGTCTCAGAAAATTCCTTCTGTAGCTTGGATAGCCCTGCTTTCTTATCTGAAGTATCTGAGAAATACTATGACCATTCTGAAAATCCAGGTGAATACCACTTTTTTTTTTTTTTTCTCTGAATCGTTATTTTAGTTATCCAGCCAGAGGGAAGTGAATGCTGGTTAGAGATATGGTGCTCTATGTCCTATCTGGTATGCTGTGTTGAATCACGTCCTAAATATTCCAATGCTGATGGCTAAAACCACAATTTTATTTTTGCCCAAAAGCTAATCATAGAAAAAAAAAAACAAACCCAAAACCAGTAGTCTATTTGAGAAGAGAAATTAAAGCAATG